ATATATCAATTAAAAAGCATAAATCATGACAGAAAATAGAATTAAAGATTTCAGAATCCTAAAAAAGCTTAAACTTCCAATGTCTGTCTGTCTGTCTCAGGTGAGAGCTAGAGATATGAGTCTCAAATGTCCCACAGGAACTTTTATTTATTATAAATTTATAATTAAAGTGTAACTAAACCCCAAAATAACATAATTTTGCTAAGTAACTGTATAATTGGGTCTTTGCAAATGCAATCTTTCTGTTTCTGTGCATTTTTTGACATGTTTGTGTAAACTTGATTAAATCTAGAATCTAAGTCTAAAAACGTCTCAGTGCTGCCCCCTGTGGCAGAACAGCGGCTACTGCATTTTAAACTTGTGATTGGCTGGGGCTGGAACAATTTCACGTCATCGGTACAGTCTCCTCCCACTCCCCCTCCCTCCCAAGATGGAAATCCCCCACACTTGGCCATGCCACTCTGTGCCTCCTGGCAACGCCCACTTTCAAAGCATTTTTCATATCTTGACTAGAGGTGGAGTTACGTTTTATGTTTATGTTATGTTTATGTATTTAGCAGGCGCTTTTGTCCAAAGCTACTTACAAGTGATAATCGGCATGTTGCCCTTGAGGCTAACAATAACAATAACAACAACTTGACATCAATCATGGAGAGGAGGGAACAAGGAGTGGACAGTAGAGAGGGGGGACGGGTGCAGGGAGGGTGCTAGTTTAGAAGATGCTCTCTGAAGAGCAGGGTCTTCAGGAGTTTCTTGAAAATTGAAAAGGAAGCTCCTGTTCTGGTAGTGCTTGGAAGGTCATTCCACATTTGTGGAACGATGCATGAGAAGAGTCTGGATTGTCCTGAGCGTGGTGTAGGCACTGCTAGCCGACGATCCCGTGATGACCGGAGCGGCCGGGCCGAGACGTAAGCCTTTGCAAGAGGATTCAGGTAGATGGGAGCCGTACCGTCTCGGACTTTGTATGCTAGTGTTAGCAATTTGAATTTGATGCGTGCTGCTAGCGGTAGCCAGTGGAGCTCAATGAACAGAGGGGTGACGTGTGCTCTTTTTGGCTGGTTGAAGACCAGACGCGCCGCTGCGTTCTGGACCATTTGAAGAGGTCTCACAGTACAGCCTGGAAGACCAGTTAGAAGGGCATTGCAGTAATGGAGGCGGGAGATGACAGTAGATTGCACCAGGAGCTGGGTGGCATGTTGTGTTAGGTATGGTCTGATCTTTCGTATGTTATACAGCGCAAAGCGGCATGAACGAGCAACAGAGGCAACGTGATCTTTAAAGGTCAGGTGTTCATCAATCACAACACCCAGATTTCGAACTGCCTTTGAAGGAGCCAGAGATAGGAAGTAATTTTGGATTGAGATATTGTGCTGTATGGATGGTTTTGCTGGGATGACGAGTAGTTCAGTTTTAGAGAGGTTGAGTTGGAGATGGTGGGATTTCATCCATTTTGATATGTCAGAGAGACAGTTTGGTATTCGTGCAGAGACAGTGTGGTCGTCCGGTGGAAATGACAGATAGAGCTGGGTGTCGTCTGCATAGCAGTGGTAGGAGAAGCCATGTGATCGAATGATCTCACCCACGTTTTCTGATGGTGTGCAGTTCCTCTTTAATGTAAAATTATTTAATTTCTATCTAGAGGTGGCTCATATTCTATCACGCAATTACTAGTAATTATTTCTTGTGAAGAGGAAATCATGTTAATCATGTTAAGTAAAAATCATGATGCATCCTTATCTCATGCATCCTCTAGTCAGGATTACACTCCAGCTATTTGGGCCTCACTGCTCACCGTAGCCGTTTCCTGACTACACAGGGAAGGGTTTGGCCTGTCTCTCTACACAGACGGGATAAACAAAGCTCCGGTCAGCAGCCATGGTGAAAAGGCTCGCTAAAACACAAACAAACGTCCCCACATAATAAAAGCCACGAAGCCAAATGCAAAGTTTGGAGCAGAACGTTGACCCAGACGCCTCCTGATCGAGCAGACGCGTGAGAATATCGCTTAGTGACGGAGCAAACTAGTGGCTATATCAATCATGGTGTGCTTCTTCAAAGATTCATAATCATTTACGTACGCATCTTAAAGGTATGGTGGAGGATGTTTCTGAGTTTCAGGAAAGAACCGCCCTCTCCACGTTTTAAAAGATGTACATGAGAGAACGCCCAGTTGTCCTTGTGCACGTTCAGTTTACAAGTAGCTGTCGGCCTTGCAGCTAACTTCTTCTAGCAGTAATCTGAAATGAATTTCTATTAATAGCATGCCGAACTTTAGCTTACCTGTTGAGCAGAAAGCAGTCAACAGAGGCGTCAGAGGCGTACGCCATTGGGTTTCCTAAAGGACTCTGGTCTTATTTCTCACTACAGAGGCCTTTTTCTTCTTAACATAGACTCCAAGGACACTTTTTCTCCTGCAACTCTCAGTTATCTTCTAAGGAACCCACAGAGAACAGTGAGGAATGAAGGCGTATCGCTCTACACATGAACAGAATGCACAGGAAGTAAAAACTAACCCAGGAACGAGCGCGTACGACGACGGCCTTACGTGAAGGCTTCACCAGGATGACTGACAGTTATGCAGACCAAGATTTCAGATGATCCTCCGCTGTACCTTTAATGCATGGATTATTAGATTATTTTTCTCAGCTCTACCGAGCACCCCAGCCAAACGAACCAACACGCTGCCTAAAACTTACTCTGACTGTTTCATCGGTGTGTCTGTCGTGCCAACAGAAGCAGACTAGCATGATACGGCTAACAGAAAAACAACAAATGCGTGCTCGTAGACACGGCCAGAAATAACTCCCAGACGTTCAAGTTTTGGTAGATTGTCATCACATTAGAATCCTTAATGATCTTATATCGTCGGCCCTACGCAGCGTTACACCACAGAACCTCTCCGCAGAATTTCATTTGGATGGAGGAGAACTACAAGAACACAGCTGAGGAAGGCCATCTAGGACCACTGGGGAAAGGTACAAACCCCAGGTCCAGTGATGGTAGGAGGGTCTGAGCATCCAGTGCAAAGGCTGGTGTGAAAGCAGCTCGTCAAACCTCTGGTTGAGCCAAACTCAACAATCCTGGTACTGATCACTGTTAACGCGGGTCTAGATCAAGCCTCGTTTGTGATTTGCATTTTTGATCTGACTTGAGGTTTACATTAGAATCCCCTTCCTGACACAACCCTCCGTATTTATCCGGACTAGCAACCGGCACAGGGAATCACTGGAATGTGACCTGTTGTGGTTGTTTAGCTTAAACAATCTACTGGTCAATAAACGACCAGACAAACATCGCTCTAAACACCAGGTGACCTTTGGATGACAAGAGGACCATGAGATGTTTGATGCTCTTACACGTTTGATGGTGGTTAGATGTTTACAGAGCCTTTCTGTGTTCCACTGCTTCCTGTACATAAAATCCCTCGTTTACTAAATGTTTTAGAGTGCTTTTTGTTGTACAGCGGGTACAGAAAAGAGTCACCACCTTTGAAAGACTCCTGTTCTTCACAGCCTTAAACGGAAACACAAACAAAGGACATCTTCTACCAGCTTTTTGTATCCAATGCATCCCAAATCATCACATTGTAAAACATCAAAGTCACAGTTCAACAACAACAAAAATAAACACAGGAACCCCCCCACCCCTAAAAAAAAACAATACTCGATTAGTGGAGGATAAAAATCAACTGATCCTGAAGTATTATCTTGCTTGTTAGTGGGTGATGAACCATTTTCCAGAGATCTCAGAGATGTGGACAGACACGAGGCAGGAGATGGATACACAATCATCTCAAAGGCTTCATCAGTCCCAAGGAGAACAGTGAAATCTACAATAAAGAAGTGGCAAGTGTTTGGTTCTTCTAGGCCCTCACTGGATCTGGTCGTCCCTCTAAGCTGGATGGAAGAGCAAGGAGGAAACTGATAAGAGATGCTACCAAGTATCAGAGGTGAACTAGGACAAACAGGTGATTCACTGTGGCGACACCTGAAGAGAAAGAAGTTTAAGACGTCTTTTCCACCACATGAAAGGCCCAGTGTGCACCGATTACACGTGCCTGTTGCACGCCCTTTGCTGTCCACTTTAACATAGGTCTAAACGGAAGACATTTTTGTTCTCCTAGCCTTCTAGCTAACAGCTACATATCATGACGTCTGAATCCCCCACCTCCCATACATAGAGTGGCCTTATTGAATTGTTTTAGTCCAAGAAACGTGGAATGTTGATGTAAAGGAACATTTTTGAATTAAAACTAAGTCGTCATCATTCCATCTGACAATCCCAGTCTCTGGATTCATTTAAAAGGTCATGCTTATTATATGAAATGCAATCTTTTCCACCCGATTCCAGATTTTTCGAAAATCACGTGACGAAGACCGATTTCAGATAACATGATCAGAGCATGCCTATCAGAGAAAAATGGACGGGGCAAAAAAATGTCAAGTTCTAGAAGAAGACCTGCTGTCCTCTGCCAGCAAGTTGAAGATGGTTGAGGTTTTCCCCCAGTGAGTCGTGGCGGATGGCTGCTACTGATCCAGGATTCTCTGGAGGTTTCTTCCTGTTAAAAGGGAGTTTTCCTCTCCACAGTCGCTACATGCTTGCTTAGTATGAGGATTGCTGTATAGTCACTGACACTAGTCAGTGACTTGATGCAACCTGCTGGGTTCCTTATATAGGAAACTTAATCGGCATAATGAACTGAACTCAACAAGTGCCTTGAGACGACTCTTCTAACTTTATAAAGTTTTACCTCAACATTACACAAAGTGGCTGACCACAAGAGGTGGTTCAGCAAAACATCAAAACCTTTAATAATCTCAGTATTTCTTGACTTTTATTTAGAATTATTTGTGAACTGTAATAGTTGGATGCTATAGGTTGCATTAGATATTTGTTTGTGTTTTCTATTAATGATGTAAACAAAATACAAGTACACTAAAAGAGCACCTGCTTGTTTGCTTTTGTGTGATGACGCCAGAGGGTTTCGTCCCCTCACGTACCTTTACCAGCCCGGGGTACTCGTTGGCTGGGAGACCATAGATGTGCTCTTTGGTCTCCTCACATTCAGTCAAGATGAAACAAGGAAAGTGCTTTTTCACGTCATACGTCCCAGGAACCTTCTCTTTCCAGTAGCACACGTTGATCTTCACCACCTGCAGGATCCAAGATAGTAACTTTTGTTAGGTCACGTTCTCTATAGGCCCAGACAGACAGGATGTTTAGAAGTTTTTGAGGCATTGAGGCTATGTTTCTGCATTTTTAGCTTTCTGGTTAGTCGGTGACTGTTCGGCTGCAGCTGAGAGCGGGTGAGCTCAGAGACAGTGATATCCTCCAAGCCTGCTGCTTGTCTGAATAATGCAATTCCAACATAATCTCTGATTCTCCACTCTAACAGCTGTCTGCTTGTTGTGTAGCAGATTGCAAAATGAAAGGCTACCCAGCCGACTCAGCCCTCTGAGCTGTTGTGGAGGAAACCCCATTTTTGTTTACAAAGCCTCGTCCACTGGGTGTTTAAAGGCTAGTAAGGATGTGGGGGAAGATCCCTGCAGAAAATTAGCGAGGTTGGATTTAATATGAAGCACTTTCACTAAAGCTCAACTCCTAATCCAAATAGTCCTAGTGCATTTTACTGGTGCATATCATTTACACCAGTGAACCCCAACTCCCAACTCCCTACCTTGAGAGCCGATATCCAGCATGTTTTAGTGGTTTCCCTAATCCAACGCACTTGATTCACCTGTTCAACAGCTCCTATAGCCGTCTGGTTGGGGTCTGGGGTGGTGGGTCGCTTTGCTCAGCGTTGGCCGGGGGAGCCTGCTCATCAGCACCCCAGCAGAGAGTGTCGAACTCTGGTAACCGGTGATGGTTGTACCCCATGTGCAGCAGTACCGGGACCAGAGTGAATAGGGTGTGTATGGGGAGCATTTTTGTAAGTCTTGGGTTGTATGTGCATGTGTGAGCATGAGGGAGGGAGTGTGTGACTGTGTTTGTGTATGACTGTATATGTCATGTAGGGCCTTTGACTCCTCCCCTCTCCTGGGACTTCTTTTGATGATATAGATCTTCGTCTCCCCTTGATTTTATATTTCATCATCAGGTTGACGCGGTGATAGCTTTCAATTCAATTCAATTCAATAATTTATTTCACTCAAAGTTTAAATATACAAACTTCAGATCAGAATATAAGCATTCAAGTGAAATATGGGGAGGAAGAAGAAAAAATCTTATATGACCTACCCCCTTCAACTAAGACAAGATAAATAACAAAAAGTAAAAAATAGCCTTGTACACAAAAAATAAACCGCTCTCTTACTTCCACAAATAATATCACTACTGAAACATTAACCCTCCATCCTCAACTCACCAAATCATATGATTTTAGCATTTTATCTTTATACATTTTTTTAATTGATCAGTAGTTGTACATTTTTTTAATTCATCATCCAAGTTATTCCATAATTTCAAACCATATATTGAAATACACATTTGCTTTAATGTAGTACGAACAAATATCCTTTTAAACTCTGGTTTCTTTCTACTCTTATCATTTTTTGGGATCAAAACAAAGAACCGTTGTAGATTAGTTGGCAGTAAATTATTTCTAGTGTAACGTGAGGAAATATGGGTTTTCTGTGCAAAAGGTCATTTGACTCGGCTGGGTCAAAGCTGGGTCGCTGAGAACTTTCACCCACAGATTGAGACCTTTGCAGACATGAAGTCTGCAAGAGTCTGCTGGAAACCATAACATCTGCCACCTGCAGTCTGCCAGAAGATGTGTTCTCAGGAAATGTAGTCATAACGAGTCTTAAACTTCCTTTCTTGATTTTAATGTTAAAGAATAATCATTATCATTTTGCTCGTTATAAATGTGTTTTAATCAAATGAACGATTCTTATGCTTTGGGTAATTATAATGGATTAATGAATCCATACTTAGTTGAATAATGTTTGAGGATGTTTGTTAACGACCTTCACACACACACTCAAACACACCCACACACAGATTCTCACAGTAAACTCCAAAACACATTTGCTGACGCACACGTTTGCTTTGAGAAGAGAAAGGCTTTTGGTAAGTTTCAGTTTATGGTTGAGTTCGTGCTTGACAACGAAAGAGAGAGGACCTGAAGAAACCAAAGGGGGGACAGAGCCGATCGGCTTGTCCCCCCCCCCCCCCCCCCCCCCTCTCACGCTGTTCCTGTCAGCCAGACAGAATAGCTGAATCGCAACTTCTAACGCAGACTCATACCGATTCTTTTGATTTCTGAGTGAACTAAACTTAACTAAACGCATCTGCAACGTTTTTCCATCGACGTGTACCGCGGGCATCTCTGGACCGGGCCGCGGACACCTCCGTCTCCTCTGCCAGCCGCTGGTGTCACCTGGATGAACATCCCCATCCTCTGGCGTCCTGGATCTAAAAGGGGGTCCGACTTTCGGTGAGGCAGAACACGGTAGATAGCGTTTTGATGCATCTTTTCCAAGAAAACCTAAGTTTATTCAAACCATCACTTTTCACTCAGACACCTGTTTCTTCCTGAAGCAAAATCAGATGCACACCCACACTCAGCTCACCTCATGTTCAATCTTCACACACTCATCACAAGGTCTATTTGTGCAAGCTTACAATATCAACTGTTAAAGATTGTTCAACAAAGTTGCCAATGTTGATTGTCATTTCCAGGTTTGTCATTTCAAAATCATTAGTTTAATTTGAGGAATTAAAACTTTTAACTTCCAAACTTGTTTCTTCATTGAACTGAAACACAGACACACGGATATTATCGTCAGTTTATCGATGAAAACAACCTTTGAGTCTTCTTAAAACTATACAATTTGGTTATTAATTTAATAAAATTAATATCACAAATTAACATGTAGAATGGTTCCTCTTTCATAAAAGAGCTTAAACCATAACGCTACACTAGCCTTAAACATAATTAGTAAAATTTTCCAGTTAACTAAGTCTTTGAATTTCATAATTTTAGATAGAACAAAATATTTGTTAGTATGTTCTGTCGGATTTGCTTTATATAGAATTCACAAAACTTTCTTCTGTAACAGAAACAAAGGATTAGTGTTTGCTTTATACGTACTGCCCCAAACCTCAATACAATAAGTTAAGTATGGTAAGATAAATAAATAATATAATGTCTGAAGCGTTGAAATTTCTAGAAAACCTTTGACTTTGTTTAAAATTCCAATACTTTTGGATATTTTTTGTTTTATATATTTTATATGGGTTTTCCAAGAAAGTTTATGGTCCAAGAGAACCCCTAAGAATCTGACTTCATTTACTCTATCGATTAAGAAACCATCAATAGACAACGTAACTAAATCATTAGTTTTTCTGTTACCAAAAACCATGAATTTTTTTTATTCCAATTGAGAAATAATTTATTGTCATTAAACCACTTCTTAAGTTTAGACATTTCACAAACCTTATTTTGAATAATACTTTCTAAATTATTTCCAGAACAAAATATATTCGTGTCATCAGCAAATAATATGAACTGTAATACTTTGGACACATCACAAATGTCATATTTATTTATTTATTTATTTATTTATTTTTACCGTGTCCTGTCTGGCTGTGAAGCAAACAGAATTGATGTCTGAATGCTGGTGACAAGCCTTACAGATTTACTCTCAGGTGGAGCATCAAAGCGTCTGCTTTTAATGTCACGCCTGATACTTAAAACTTTATTGTTATTGTTGTTGAATGCTTTGTAATTCCGACCAGACACGGAGACAGAGGTGAAAGAGAAAGGAAAAGACAAAAGGAGGGGGGGGGGGGGGGTTTCCACAAAAATAAACAATAATGAACAAGAGTCTGCTTCTAGACCTGCAGAAAGAGAAAGAATGGAAAAAAATGGGACACACAACAAGAAAAAAGAAAAAAGAGGGAGATGGACAGGAAGCTGAGTACAGAGAGCTGGTGGAGCGCTTTGTGGCATGGTGTGGAAACAATCATCTGACCTTGAACGTGAACAAAACAAAGGAGATGATTTTAGACTTCAGAAGAAACAGGGTGGAGTCAAACACTGTTTCCATCATGGGAGAAGAAGTGGAGGTGGTTGAGGAATACAAATACCTTGGAGTTCACCTGGACAACAGACTGGACTGGAGAAAGAACAGCGAAGCCGTTTACAAGAAGGGACACAGCAGACTGCACTTCTTGAGGACGCTTAGGTCCTTCAGTGTCTGTAGCAAGATGCTGCAGATCTTCTACAAGTCTGTTGTTGAGAGTGTAATCTCTTCAGCCATCGTCTGTTGGGGTAGCAGCATCAGAAGCAGGGACCTGAAAAGGCTCAACAGCCTAATAACAAAGGCTGGTTCTGTTCTGGGGACGACTGTGGAACCGCTGGAGGAGATGATGCAAAGAAGGATTCTCCAGAGAATCAAGAACATGATGGACAACCCTGAGCATTCTCTTCACAAGACTGTCCGACAACAGAAGAGTGTCTTCAGTCAGAGGCTTCTTCAGTTTGGCTGCAACACTGACCGCTACTGGAGATCCTTCCTGCCAACAGCCATTGTGATATACAACAACTCTTTGATGACTTTATTATTATTATTATTATTATTATTATCATTATTATTATTATTATTATGAGCTACTACAGCAATCAATTTCCCTCTGGGATTAATAACGTGTTTTTGAATTGAATTGAACTGAATTGAATTCCACATATTGCTGTTTTCCAAATCTGTTTTTATTTTCCCCAATCTTAATTCCTTCAATTCAATTCAAGTTTATTTATAAAGCGCCAAATCACGACAAGAGTCGTCTCAAGGCACTTCACATAATAAACATTCCAATTCAGGTCAGTTCATTAAGCCAATCAGAAATAATGTGTCCTATATAAGGAACCCAGCAAACTGCATCAAGTCACTGACTAGTGTCAGTGACTATACAGCAATCCTCATACTAAGCAAGCATGCAGCGACAGTGGAGAGGAAAACTCCCTTTTAACAGGAAGAAACCTCCAGAGAATCCTGGCTCAGTATAAGCAGCCATCCTCCACGACTCACTGGGGATGGAGAAGACAGAGCACACACACACACACACACACGCACGCACGCACACACACACACACACACACACACACACACACACACGCACGCACGCACGCACGCACACAGACACACACACACACACACACACACACACACACACACACACACACGCACGCACGCACGCACGCACGCACGCACACAGACACACACACACAGACACACACACACACACACACACACACACACACGTCATGACTACTTTAACTACACTGAACTGCTTTAGTAATAATTTAATCTCTTATTCTGGAGTAAAATAAAGAAACGAGCTAAATCATCACATATCTGTGGCATCAAGGAGCATCTTCTGAGTTCAAACACAGGGATGGAGCACAATGTTTACACCTGAACAGTATCAGGATGTTTTAACTCACAGAGGCCTGCAGGTCTTCTGTTTTATGACCAAAGCGCTGAGAATCCGCTTGTTAGGAGCGCTAAACGTTATTTTGACGCTTCCTTGCGGAGCGGTAGGGAAACACATTTCAAACACGGAACCGAGTCCGGCTACCGACCCGAGCAGAATTCTGATGACGTCACACCGGTGCATGAAGGTGCGGGTTCCAACCCACAGGAGAGGAGGGAGAGAGGAGGTGAACAGCGAGTGGATCACAGGGACTGAACTGATGTTTTGGAGCAAAACTGCGGTAAAAATGGCCGTTTGTCCTCATTATCTAAAACGTACCCCCACCCCCCCACCCCACGGTTTAGACGCGGCGCTCATGCAGGTGTCTCTTTCTGTTCCGATGCTGCTACACGCAATATTTTTAATTTATTAAGCCTATAATTTATTTTTACTCAGTAACGGATAAGATTTAAAATGTAGTGAATTACAATTCTTTTTAATACGTACTCAAGTAAAAGTACAGATTTTAAAAACGACTTAGAAAGTATAAATATTCAAAAAAGCTGCTCAATTACAGTAACGCGAGTAAATGTAGTTCGTTACTTTCCACCTCTGCTAAATTGGGCATATACACAGTCATGAAAAGGGTTTAATTGGTGAGTACCTGTAGAGGTAGCTGTAGGCCTGTGCGGGCCAGCACTGCATTAGTCCAGGGTCCAGCAGTGATCACCACACTCTTGGCTCGATAAACACCAGCAGGTGTTGTCACAGTGACCAAAGGGCCAGGTGTGATGCCTGTCACCTCCTCATTGTCTCTTATCGTCCCCCCCAACTTCAGAAACTGACCCTGTGAAAAGAAGAGACCAAAAGGAAAACGTTTGCCCATATAACAGAAAGTTAAACTTCATTTATCAACATCATGAAACCATGAATCCATTAAAAATACACACAGCAACCAGCTACTCGTTTCCCTCTCATCTCTCACTTTACCTAAACTTATAATCGATTCTTATCTTACCCAGCAGCTGTAACAAGCTAAAATAGCTGCAGCGCTAAGAGGTCCGACACACACACACACACGCACACACGCACGCACGCACACACACGCACACACTCTCTCTCCCCACTGGTGTGTTTTCTCACAACTGACTGAGTCCAGTAATGGGAATTTATTGCTGTGAGATATGTTTTGTGTTGGCTCACATTTGCCTCCAACAACCTTTAATGTGTTAAATTATTCAAATCTTTGTTGGTTTCCAGCACTCTCCTCTTCTACTAGCATGGAACCAGCTTCCGTATGGCTAAAGATGTTTTTGTTGAAAAGGCTCAGGCTTTCAGGGATAAACACAAACTCCACAAAAAAAAATAAATAAATAAAAGAAAGAGTAAAAACGTATTTGTTGTTAAACATATGCAAGATACCACTTTGGAGACTGGTTCTGTCAGATTTGGAGGAGAAACGACTTCGTATTCACCAGACACTAACTATACTCACACTCTTAGATACTGATCGTTTGTTCCGAACGGAGATCAGTTCAGCACATGAAATGAATAAGTTGCGCTTGATTTAGAATACAGCACACTGATCAAACTAAAGAGAAGATGGCTCAGGTGTTTTGAAAAAAATCCAGAATCTAACTGCTGCTGTACCTGTACGGTCCTCAGAGCCCGGTCCGCATACAGAAGTCCAGCTGTTACTTCCACCATGGCTCCATGTCCCTCAGAGAGATTCACACCAGGGATGTGCTGGTTGAAGTTGTCACGGTTCAGGATCACCGTTGGAATGTTGTTGTTTTGTAGATTTGTCTTGATCAGCTGGTAGTCGTCACTCGTCTCTGGTCCCATAACCAGCAGTCCAGTTTGTCTGAGAATACAGACCAAGGTGCAAGCACACAAATTTACAACTCACCCCTTTAGTTAGAACCAGAGGTTAGACTGACTCAGCCATTAGTCAAACCCAGTCATAAGTCAGACCCAGTTGTTAGTCAGATTAAGCCTTTGGTTAGACTCGCTACACCGAGTGTCTGCAAATTATGGCTTTGGGGCCACATGCGGCTCTCCCAAGAGAAGCGGGAGGCATGGGGAAGAACAGTCACAAAACTGAAGCTTAAAAACTCTGTTTGACAAATAAGAGCAAAACCATTAAAGTGGGGTACCCCCTAAGCCCCACCCAAGTCTCAAGTCTATCCAACAAATGTTATGGTCAACTGTATGAAATGCTGCAGAAAGGTCCAATAAGGAGCAGAACAGGTGACCCGGAGTCAGAGGCTACCAGGATGGCATTTGTCACACAAAGAAAAGCAGATTCAGTACTTATTTTTGTCAAAACCAGTCTGGGACACTATTCCCCCAGAGAGAGCAGCAGCCTCATGCACTCATTGCTGTGGAAGCACAGGTGGGAGGGAGGTCGAGGGAGTGAAGAGCACATTGACCCCTTCCGAGGACAGCATGTTAATGATATGGGTCCGTCTCGGACAAAAGCTGATTTATAATTATACTTATTAATAACGCTGACATCAGGGTAGGGCTGGGTGATACGGCCTAAAATCACCGGACTGGAAAAGTGTCGCAAAAAGAACAAAATAAACAAAATCCTATAATATATGAATGGGAAAATCAAAGCTTTTGAGCAAAAATTTTACCAAGAACGGAAGAGCAAAATAATCAGTAGCTCATAACTGGCAACATTTTATGGTGGGATGTAAGCTCATCTCGAGTGGACACGCCATGTCAATCATAGAAAACGTCGGCTTCATGGGCGGGGGAGTTAACAACCAGCGCCGACCAACAACAACAGCCGTAGTTCGAGCCACGTGCGAACGCAGAGTCACGGTCATAGGACATTCAGAATCTCCAGACAACTCACCTATACCACACAGATCCGCGGCTATGTCATGTAGAAAAGGGGTACCTGGAAGCAAGAAGTGAAGGCTACGAGTGAGAGAGCACACGCACAGATCTGGAACCAAACGGATGTCCGGCGTGTCATTGACGACCGGCGGCGTATGTAACTTGACGTGAGTGTTGTCAACCCAATTCCCACATTGACCACATCCCTCAGTCTATAGATGTCCCCTGGGGACACGATAGGTAAGATGATGATGAATGCTAGCTCCCTGGTGGCAGGATCGACTCGTAACGGGATAGCACTGCCCAACGAGAAAGCCAAGTGAGTTTGAAGGGCAGTCACATCACCCTTTGTTGCTCTAGTAAGGGCAGTCCGGACCATGTCCAGGGACACGAGGTACAGAGGGATCCTCCCCATGAGGAGGGCGTAAACAGAGATGCTCACGTCCCAACCGTAGTTGGACAGGCAAGTGGTCAGTATCTGAGCATGAGCATAATCAACCTTCACGAAAGAACGCAGTTCATTCACAGCAGAAGTTGTTTTACGCAAAATGTTACTATGAGTGTTGAGTACTACCATAGTATGGCATTCACTCGCCCAATTGTTTCAATACACACCGTTGTTGCAGTACTTGTTTATGCAGGGACGGGTATTCTCTGTGAAGCTCATCAACGTGGTGTCAAACTGTGTTGATCTCGACTGAGTTGACTGACGAGAACCCAAATTTCAAAAGAGAGCCAAAAGAACTCTTGCAGGAAACGCTTCTCTCTAACGTAGGTACCCGAAAGATCATTATTTGAAACCGTGAATTTAAGCACCTGGAGTAGTATATGAGAGACATCAGCTTCCGAGTGACACATCAGTGTACGAGTCCAGTGGGCCCCGGTTTCCAAGAGGTTGCCAAAGATCCGGACTGTCAGAAGTCGGGCAGACCTCACGGCACCGGGAGCTAGCCCTAACCCGTCCAGTCTTGAGATGTCTCCAGTTCACAACAGTAGCTGGAATGCTTGTTTGCATCCAAAGTGGATGTGTCTTATTGGGAGCCGTCTGGCTGTGCCAGCTCGCAGCATGCAAACTGGTTTTTGACTGTAGGTCAAAAGAGATGTCTCAAGAATGCTTGTTCCGAATTGGCCGGTTCTGAACTCTGCTAGAAACTGAACTACTCGGGAAGTAATTCTTGTTTTAACAAACCACTTTGTTATGGTTTCTGGCCATTCTGGCAAATCAGAATGTGCCATGTCTGTAAGGCTTTACCATAACCTTCCTCAGGAAGCCACGCCTTCCTTCAGATACAAGATTCTTAACACTGTGAATAAGAATCTTTAAACGTTATGTAAGGTGAACCTTAACCTTAATTTGTATCTTATGAAGATGTGTATGAGTGTAGATAATGACTAACTTGTTAAGTCAAACACATACTAATCATAAGATCTGCAATGGATCATTTTAAGAGCAATATTCATTTAAACTTCATTAATTTAAGCACAGATTGAACACTTCATTTAAACATCTTGTTGTTTTACGCAGAGAGATAAGGCTTTTGCGGGAGACCTTGCCAGTTTACATATATCTGCAATGAAGAGCTATAAGTGAGCAAAAGGTTGATTTGTGCGTCTGAATCCTCCAGCTGGTGTAACCTTGACTTTGCAGATCTGGCGTGTATGAAAGGTTACTGTGTCAATTCGATGGTGAAAAATGACCCTTTTGATTCATTACAATATCACGATAAATTGAGGATTTCACCCCGATAACAATAAATGGACGATAACTACAATTATGCGCAGAAACAAAAGTTGTCCACTAGATGGGGCTGTCACACGGATCATGTTGAGTCACATTTTTACGTGACTCAAGGTGGCGCAGCTTCATAAAAGGACATGAACGCTGCCAATCTACACACATCTTTTCATTTTTATTATCAAATGTATTGACATGGGAAAAATTATCTCGATAAGATTCAGAAATTTCGATACCGATAAATTTTCGATTTATTGCCCAGCCCTACATCAGGGGGAACATCAGAGGAATGAAACACTCCTGGCTGCAAACAGGCTTAAATACAAAAATGTCAAGATGTAAATCCAATTAGAACTCTATTTTAAAACTTTAAACTCCACATTTATTTTTTAAATTTTGCCATCAAGTACAAAGCTGCAGCTGTTGCTACTGCTGTGGGCCAGCGGTGGCGCTAATTCACCACCTTGTAGCTGCCAGCCACCCACAAGAAAAAGTGACTTATGCCTCATCCAAAGCATCAGTAAGCCTAGCTGCTAGCCTGCCACAGAGCGGGTTTGTTCTCCAGCATGTGTTACCATGGTGACTGGGAGGGGTTTCAGGCTATGTCCATAAAATGGATTTAGGGGAGGTTACACCGGGATTCTCAAAAGAAAGCCTGGTTTTGGGAAAATCTCCCTGTCTGGAACACCCCCCCGGTCTCTTAGCAGGATGCTGGTTCAGATCAGATCAAAACATGGAAACAGAAAGCTGTGAGCACTGTTATTAACACAGGCTGACCTTTCAGCTGAGTGTAGCTCTACAGACCAATCAAAATCTAATCAATCAAATCAAAGATACTTTATTAATCCCAGAGGGAAATTAGAGTTTCAGTACACACAATTCTGAGATCAGACATACTGTACATGGGCAAGGCACATGAGAAGAATCGGTGACTGTGGTCATTCGCAACCCTGAGTCGCGCTACCTTAATAGAGATAAGAGGGTTACATGAGGATTGGTTCAGGTGGAGGGAAAAAAAGGCACTTCAGAGTTACCCTCCACCAGGAGGGCAGCTTTGTTCTGCAAAAAAACACCTCAGACAGAAATGCAACAGACTTCAGACAACACAACATAAGTGTCCACTAGGTGGGGTGGTGGGTTGGGACTATCCCTACTTCAGTTCCTGCCGCCATGATAAGCAGCGCATGTCACTTCAGTGTGGATTGGGGGGGGGGGGGGGGGGGGGCATTGAGAGTTGCAGTGGCCGTGGAATGTTTCAGCAGCCTTCCCGCAGCCCCGCCCAGGCTGGGAAAGGAGACAGAGTTGAGTTGCCATAGCGACGGCACATTCCACATATCTTCTGAGGGGGGAGTTTTCGTTGGAGCCTTGCAGGCTCAAGGGCGCCAGATTCCGATTAGAAATTGTTTTGGGGCCAGACAGAGATAATTTCCTCTCTGTCTTACAGTTTGTTGGTCCTCAACCTCTCAAAATTCCAATAATGGACCGTAATCTATCCCAATCCATGCTGATTCGTCCACTCTCTCCTTGATGGCATCCATCTTTTGTGCCAATAAGGAATCTCGGCCAAAGTTCCAAGCTTACGGTTCATCTTGACAATTATGTGAGTCTGTGAATTCACAGTGCGGTGCAAACCATCTCTGAGCTCCGGGATCAGGCCAATATTCCTCGACAGCTCGTTAATTTTCCGGTAAGCCAGGTAGCCTCCAAGGCCAATGAGCAGGAAACCCGGCACCAACACCACGAATATCCACACGTCTTCAGAGTCCTCCACAGACAGCTGAGATAAACAAATCAGGTTCCACTGTTTCCAGGAATCCATGATGTGTCCAACTGGGTCTGTCCCGGCGGGGCATCCGGGAGCCCCTTCTCCCGTTCTCATCGTTGAAAAAACTTTATCAATCGCGTTGAGAGACCAACTGACGATATCCATTTAAGTGAATTTCAGTTTCCAGAAAAATGCAGAAGCAGCCGTGCACCCAGCACACGCAGACAGACAAAGGCCTTGAGGATAAGGTATGGAGGAGAGGAGGAAAAAAAAAGCGTCTGCACCCTCCAAGAGCCGGAAGAAGAAAAAGACCACAACACAATTAGCACACAGCTAGCTCGCTACAGCCGCTCAGGTGTAAAGCTCAACAGACTGATGGATGACGGACTTGACCTCAGCCTGAGGTGATCTCTAAAGACTGTTTGGTCTGTCAGCAGACATAAGGAACAACCACCTACACACAGCTGAAGGCCAGAGCCGTTTGTCACAGAGTTTCATGACTCCATCTCTTTGTGTGCTTGTGTGTTTACGAGAGTGTGACGGAGGCAGAAAAAGCCATCAGAGTGAATATAGGCTCATAAATATAAACTACTTTATCCAGCCAACCTGCGATGATGCCTGACTGGTGGCAATGCATCAGCTGGTGAATGCACGAACACAGCCTGCATGTGGGGAAAGTAAAAACAAGATATTGTTGAATGACTGGTTTTAACGCAGCTCATGCTTTTTGTGACTTTGTGTCACATTTGCATCTGCAGCTGAAGGAGCAAACAGCTTCTCCCACCAACGTGGGTCCGACCAGTCAATCATGAGCAGGAGACGGAGACAAATGGTGTTTACTGGGAACATAAAGTGGGTGTATCTTGGTTTTACAAATGATTACCCTGAGACACTCATGATGAATCTATTTGTTCTGCTATAAAGACCAGACATGGCTGTTGGAGGGCAATGTGTTCAGGTGCTGCAGGGGGGCTGCACATAATTCCATCACGGTTGTATTCATAAACACACACGTCTGTCTCGCCTCCATGAATGAACATCATGGATTTGGAAAGATGAAGAAATAAAGACAGGACCCAGCTCCGTATCCAGAGGTATGGAAGCTGTCGGCGGGTGATTCAGGGAGGCTGCAGGAAATGAGACAGTCATGCATTTATGGCTCCAGGATATTGAGTTGCTGCTCTTGTGCGAACATGGTACCTTGAATGTGACAAATCTATACGTCTGGCCAAGCTCTGTGCCATGTTCAGTTAATAGGTTGTTCACTCTGCTTTTCTGCTGACTGCATACCTGTACAGTTTGACACCTGCCTCCTCCTCCAGCTGAGTCCACAGCTTGTAGCTCTCCTCCATCATGTGGATGTAGAAGTCCTGCTTGTAGGCCTTGCGAATAACCCGGGTCTGGCCATGGGAGCTGCCTCTGCTGTGGGGCAGAACAAACTGGACAAGAACAGATCTGACTTTAAATGAGCCAGAAAACATCCAGAGCAGATTCACTTCAGCCCCTCTCTTCTCCTGTTGCCTGGGTCAAACTTCAATCACGCAGGATGTTTTATTCAGATGTTGTTTCTAGTCGGTCTGCATGATTATTCTCCACAGCAGACTTTTCTGTTTGCTATATAACAGAACACAAGCGCGTGCACAAACATCCACACATGCACACTTTTTTTGCCACCTCTTGCAGACCGTACCTGCTCCACCAGCAGGGTCTTCCGGTTCTGCTTGGCCAGCTGGTAGGCCGTGAAGGATCCCTGGACCCCCGCCCCGATCACCACGCAGTCAAACTCCAGAACAGTCGGCATGTTGAACGGAACCAGCCCAAAGTTCGGGCCCACAGCTTTTCTGCAGGAGCAGGTCCGCCCATGACTGGAGGAGGTCAAGTGGGTGTTTTTACCCTGAACCACGTCTGTCAGGAAGGAGCAGCATGCGTCTCAGTGTGCATGAGTCGTCTGATGAGTGCCTCTGTAATAATCCGGACTGAGAACCTTACTGGGTGTGGGTTAGAACCGAACCTGGTCCCTGCAAGAACAGGCAGGCCTTTCCTCAAGCGCCTGTCAGTCCTAACACAAGGTAAAATATCACTGTCCCACGTGTCCACACCTGGATCCAACCTGTCTGCATCTGTCAGGTGCGCAGGTCACTTTGTCCAAACAGAACTTTTATTATGAATAAAAAGTCTAGATGGACATCTAATTGATGTCCTTTATTCATCCCAACTTTAATTGGGTCAAATCTGGTCTGAAAATTACATTTTTGTGATTATCTAAATCCCAAATCTTGTTCTGGTCAAATTGATTTAAATGTTGTTCAATCTACATTAAAGAGACATCGAATTAAAAAGCAAACGGCCAAATTTAGCCTGTTACACCTGTGACTCACTGGGTCTCAAAATGGTCCAAGTCTCAAAATACACATTTTTCTAAATTCACTCCGAGTGGCGTTAAAATAGATTACAAAATAAAACTGAAGTAGAACAGAATAGACACTAAGTAGATTTAGTTGTGGATTTTGTTTCCTGTTTCTTAAAATATTCACACATTTACCAGATGGTGTAAAACAACCAGAATGCAGACTGGTTCTAATGCCACTGGAACCATTAGGATGAAGAGCATCTCACAACTAAACCGACTGGTTTAGAGTTTTTATTTTTTTATATATATATATATTTTGCTTTTACTATTAAAAGCATCACAATCTCGTTTCCACGGCTACAGCTGGGCCACCTCACACCAAAAGTCTTCCCTTACAAACAAAACTTGTCTGGTTTATTCATGTTTTATCACTAATAGTATGGTGGGACTTTTATATCAAAACTTAAAAGTAAATCTGGAATTAAAACTCTATCAGCCTGAGATGGAATCAGTGTGCATGACGCTAGACCAGCGTGTGACAGAGAAACAACGTCTGTTTGTTTGTTTGCTGGGAGAAGAAACAGTCGCCAGACGAAGGATAAAAAGATTAGAACGTGTTCTAATGTGTGTTTGATCAGCTGGGACACACACACACACACACACACACACACACACACACACGCGCAGGGGGAGGGGTGAATCGTTCAGCTGCTGCACAACGCTAACAGAGTTGATGTGTAACATGAGTCAGGAGCCGTTTAATGACTCAGCAGGTCGTGACTGTTCCAGTCACTCTGGTTCTGTCCGGCTTTCTCCAGTACCAAGGTTCTTCAGGGTTCTCAGATCAAAGGGCATCTGTTATTTAACCAGTTCGCTCAGTCCATCGGTCACCTGCCTGCAGACCTGCACCAACGAGTAGAATTGTTTCACAGTGGTGTGTTCAATGCTGGAGTTTAAAGAGTACGATTCATTCTCTGTTCAAAATATCTAAACTCTTAATTTAATACTTGATCTCATTGTAAAGCAGCTTGGTGTACTTTTTATTATGTTTTTTTAATTATTCATCCTTTTATTTTGTAAAGAAGGTCACCAGAGTCTCAGTCTGACCCGACTGGACGAAGCCAGAGGTCCGTGACAGAGACACGCCCGGAGTCACCACACACAGCCATGAACCTTGAACCTGGCAGCGTAACCACTGATCCTATCCACTCTGTTGTTCTATAACTCATCACTGGAACATGTAGCTCTGCTAGGAACAGAAGACTGTTGGTGAACGACTATCAGATTCAGATCTTTGTGATATTTTAAAGCTTAACTGGTCGGTGTTTGGATAGAGCCATGAAGCTGGCTCCACATGAGGACCCTCAGCCTCAGACCAGTTCATATCCCGAGTAAACCAGTTTTAACTGGACAGCCTGCCAGATCTCTTGACTATCTGCAGCAAAACCACCCAGCCACCATCACAGTCAGCTCAGCTCAGGACCATACCACAATACGTTCAAAGGCTTACTGAAGGGATGGATGGAGTCGTGGTCGATTGTCAGATCAGCGTGGGGGGGCGGGGGGGTTGGGGGGGGTGCAATCTTCAGGTAAATGATAAATGATAAATGACCTGCACTTGTATAGCGCCTCTCAGAGTAAGAACTCCAAAGCGCTTTACACTACAGTAGAGCTGAAACAACTAATCGATTTAATCGATTATTAAAATAGTTAACAACTTTTTTAGTCATCGATTAGTTGTTTAATAATCACATTTTACCGCATAAAGTCTATTTTTTACCACAATCTGACATCGGTTACAATCTGTAAAATTTGCCGCCAGTGTGTGGCAGTAGAGCCACTGATCTACCAGTGGAGCCGTAGAAGAAGAAACGAGCCAATAAGTGCCCTCGGTTTTCGTGACGTAACACGTTACTGACGCGCATCTTGCTGTGAGAGATGGCGGAACAAGAAGAAATACGGAAGAAAAATAGAAGCGACAAAACTGAAGAGAAACCCCGGACAAAAACCTCACGAGTATGGGAGCACTTCACTCTAGATGCCATGAAAAGACGGGTGACCTGCAAAATATGCAAAAACCATCTAGCATGGCACGGAAGCACGACGTCCCTAAGTGAACATTTGAGACGAAAACATGTGGGGGCTGATGCAGCAGAGGAAGCGCCTGTCAGACTCGAAGACTGGGTTCGGGAGTAAGAGCTTTTATTAGAGACTGCTGGCTGCAAGCGGTGCTGAAAAGGCTGACGGAAGGATGAGGTCTGAGTTAGAAAGGTGGAGGTTTAACTGTCTTAGCTTCTGAATACTCTGATCATGGAACACGGTGGAACGATGACTGAGTGAAGAGCCGGTGTGGCGTCTTCCATATATAGACATGGATGTCGCAGGTGCAACGTGGAGGGAATCCCCGCGAGGGGCATGCTGGGTAATGGTCCGAGACAGAAGCCGGTCAGCTGGGAGAGTCCGGCCTGGGGGCTTGGACTCTGACAGGACCCCCCGGTCCAGGGACGGCTCCAGAAGTCCCCGGGCCACCTCGGTGGGCCCAGAAGTCCGAGATGAGGGCAGGGTCCAAGATGGAGCGGGCCGGCTCCCAGGAGCGTTCCTCGGGGCCGTAGTCCGCCCAATCCACAAGGTACTGCCAACCCCGACCCCGGCGGCGAGCGTCCAGAATGCACCGGATGGTGTAGATGGGCTCACCGTCGAGGAAGCGGGCCGGCGGAGGCGCCGGAGCCCGAGGCGGCAGGAGTGAGGATTCCACATAAGGTTTGAGCCGGGAGGTGTGGAAGGTGGGATGGACGCGAAGGCTTGTAGGCAGCCGCAGCCGGTACGTGTCCGGGTTGATGACCTTCTGCACGGGGTTGGGTCCGAGGAACCGGGGAGCGAGCTTCCTGGAACCGGCGCGGAACCGGAGGCCTGCCGTGGACACCCAGACCCTGTCCCCTGGAGCATAGGAGGGGCCCGGGCGGTGCCTGCGGAGGTGTTGGTGGGAGTAACGGGCGTTGGCCCGGGTGATGGAGGCCCGCGCCTTGATCCATGCATTTTTGCAGCGCCTCACCAGGGATTGAGCGGCCGGCACCGCGACTTTGGGTTCCTGGTGGACAAAGACTGGGGGCTGATAGCCATAGCAGACCTCGAAAGGGGACATCTGAGTGGCCGAGGAGGTGTGGAGATTGTGAGACAGCTCCGCCCAGAGGAGGTACTTAGGCCACTGCGAGGGCTGCGCCGAAACAAAGCAGCGGAGGTACCGGCCCAACTGTTGGTTTGCCCGCTCCGTTTGACCATTGGTCTGTGGGTGGTAGCCCGAAGACAGGCTGACAGAGGCTCCCACTAGATGGCAGAAGGCTTTCCAGAAACGGGCCGTGAACTGGGGACCACGATCCGAGACCACGTCGACCGGGAACCCGTGGAGGCGCACCACGTTCTCCAGAAACAGTTCTGCAGTGCGTCGGGCCGAGGGGAGACCCGGGAGGGCGATGAAGTGAACAGCCTTGGAAAACCGGTCAGTGACCGTCAGGATGGTGTCGAGGTCGTTGACCGGCGGGAGACCCGTGACAAAGTCCAGCCCCACATGGGACCAGGGGCGGCTGGGCACCGGAAGAGGTCTGAGGGTGCCAACCGTAGCCTGGGTGGATGCCTTAGAGCGGGCGCAGACGTCACAAGCGCTCGTGTATTCCTTGACATCCCTCTCCATACGTGGCCACCAGAGAGCCCGTTTAAGGAACCTGAGAGTCCGAGAGAAGCCTGCGTGACCAGACAGGCGTGATGAGTGGGCCCAGGACAACGCCTCACTGCGACAGGCCGAGGGGACGTAGAGCCGACCGGCGGGGGTCTCTGGTGGCGCTGGGTCACCCTGGAGGGCGTTTTGGATGGCCTCCTCCAACGGCCACCCAAGGTGGGCCACAAAACGGTGCTCCGGGAGGATGGGCGCCGGCTCGGACGTGGGCGCTGAATGGGTGAACTGGCGGGAGAGGGCGTCCACCTTCTGGTTCTTTGTCCCGGGGCGATAAGCGAGATGGAACTCGTAGGGTTCGAAGAAGAGGGCCCAGCGTGTCTGGCGAGGATTTAACTGCTTGGCGGACCGCATGTGGGTTAGGTTCTGGTGGTCAGTCCAGATGGTGAACGGCTGAGTGGTGCCCAGAAGCCACTGCCTCCATTCCTCCAACGCCCATTTTATGGCTAGCAGTTCACGATCCCCCACGCCGTACTTCTGCTGGGTGGTGGAGAACTTCCTGGAGAAGTAGGCGCAGGGATGTAGCCTGTCGTCGGGGCCGCCTTGGGACAGGATGGCGCCGGCGCCGACATCCGAGGCGTCGACCTCGACCACAAAAGGGACTGCCTGGTCCGGGTGGCGCAGGATAGGAGCCGATGTGAAACGAGCGACTAGGTAGTGGAAGGCCCGAACGGCGTCTGGGGTGAGCCGGAACGGTTGACCAGGAGGGCTCGGTCGGGTGAGAG